CCTTTTGGTGTTGGGCGAGCACGAGACCAACAGATCCGACACTTCTTCCTCTTCAGTTGCACAAATCCGCTATGCGATTCCCTGCTTCAAATCTACTTTCACGTGGCTGGGGCTCTTCAGATATGATTTTGCGATATTAGTACAAATTTGCTTCCTTCGCGCGCGAGCCGCTCCCGACTAGCATTTTTTGCTCCTTTCCGGCTTCTCCGCGCGTGATTGCCTTTGGTTTCGCGATATTGGCGCATATCTGCCTCCTTCGCAAGCGAGCCGCTCTGACCAGTCTTTTCTGGTTTTTTTGTCGGCTCCTTCGCATGCATGCGCCTCTAGTTTCGTGATACCAGCGCAAATCTACTTCATCCGCGTGCAAGCCACTCCGACTGGCCTTTTCTGGTGTTCTTTTTGTTTTTTCTGCACATATTCGCATTTAGATTTCATGATACCAGCGCAGGTCTGCTTTGTTAGCACGCGAGCCGCTTCTACTAGGCTTTTATAGTCTTTTTTTTTTCTTTCACTCGTGTCGCCTTTGGTGTTGCGATCCGACACATATTCGCTTCCTCTGTGCGCAAGTTACTCCGATCAGTATTCTTTGGTCCATTTTCTGGCTCCTTTACGTGCGTCCATCTCTGGTAGATCGCATGATGACTCTTCAGAATTGAGTCTGCAAGTTGAACATGTGTGATATCATTGTACCAATTTGAGAGGGAGTGTTGAGTAGAATATTTTATTGTTTAATTAGTTGAGATGATGTAATTAGAGTTATTGGAATAATAATATCATATAACTAGAATTATATTAGAATAAAAGTTTTTTAATCAGTAGGTTAAGAATTTTATAAATATTTTAAATGTAATAACATAAAAGATGAGAAAATAAAGTTTATATTTTTTTCCTCCAAAATCAACGGAGATGCATGATTGTGCAGGCGTGCAGCAGCTGGGAGCAGCACTGGAGGCTGCTGAGCTTACTAGTGGCTGGCTATGAAAACTGGTAGTAGCAACATTGGTGGCTGCTTATGAAGACTGGCCCTATTTAGGGTTTTTGTATTCTTTTCATTTTAACGACGAAGGTCGATGAGGTTTTGCAAGTTGGAGGAGGTGGCAGTAGATGAATGCCACTTGTGTAAAAACAAGAAGTCATCTGAAGGTTTGCACTTCTTCCTTAGAAAAGCTTCCAGCATAAGAGACTTCTCTATTATTGATGTGTCATTGCTCTCAAATAGGTTAGCTTATGGCTGCGTAGAATTGATCTGCTTACCACTATGACATCTATTTGATATGCCATTAAGCTTCCAACCATTCTCTCTAGTATGTTGTGATTTACCACAGTATTTACAAGTCATGTAGTCTTCGTTTGGCATACCTTGGTTACTGGTCTTTCTCTGGTCATGGACGATGCAAGCAACTAAACCTGCTTTGTCACCACCAAGTAGGGTGGATTGTGACACTTCTGTGACTCTTTTCTTGCTCAATATAATAATTGTAGAATTTGGAGAAAAAATATAATTTTTATTCTCATCCTTTAGGTTGTAACACTTGCGTATTTATAGAATTCTTAAACTATTAATTAGGAAATAACTATTCTACTATAATCTTAATTAGATAAGATTAATATTTTAATAAAATTCTAATTATATAATACCAATTAATAATTAAAATACTTAAATAATAAATTATATTACTCAACACCCCTCCTTCAAGTTGGTGCAGAGATATCTCTCATGCCCAACTTGTAGATAAGGTTTTTAGTCATCATATAGTTTACAATGCCAATCTTTTTTGTTGTTTGAAGATTCTAATTTTATTAGATTTGTTGCACATATAGTTGATGAAGAGTTAAATTGAAACAAAATACGCTTCAAGTCTTGAATCTCTTTATTTGAAAAAGCTCCAACTGTCGGTGTGTCGGGTGTTTCACTTTTATCAACTAAATTTTTTTGAGCTCTCGTAGGTCTACCATTCTTTCTCTCACTACCTCTAGTTGGCTTTTAATGCAACTTCCAGCAAGTTTCTCTTGTGTGTTTTGGCTTGCCACAGTAGTCATATATTCGTAAATCCTTGGATTGTTCAGACTGAGCAACTAATTCAGTTTTCTCAAGTAGTGTTATGTAAAACATGATATTCCTTTTACTTTTTTCTTACTGGACAAAAACATAAGTTTGTTCTAATGAAAAAAAAGGATCTTTACCAAGCATCTGAATTTGTTTTTGATCATATTTGTTGTTCAAATCAGTTAAGAAATTATAAATTCTTTTTTTTTTAATCAATTTCAGAAATTTGATTGCATTTGCAGGGCAATCTGCTTGAAAGTCTTGATAGTAATATAATTTTTGGTATAATCCACTCATTTCAAAAAAATATTGTGAAATACTCATATCTCCTTGGTTTGTGCCACAAATTTTATTGTGGAGTTCATAAACTTGGGTATCATTATCCATTTGTGAATATGTAAGAGATGACTCGTTCCATATTTTTGCTGCAGTATCAAGTAACAAATATGTTCGTGCAATATATGGTTGCATGGAATTGATTAACCAAGACATTATCGAAGAATTTTCAGAGTTTCGTCTGTTATATTACAAATCAGCTACTTTCGGTATCTTCATATCACTTGTAATGTATCACTGTAATCCTCTAATTTTGATAAATAATAAACAAAATCTTAACCAAGTAAGATAATTAGTTCAATCAAGTTTTACGGGACTGATTTGCAATAAGGGGATATCCGAATAAGAAACCGTTATTTTTTTTACTTATATCATTTTAGAATGCTAAAGATAAGAAGAAAAATACCTAATAATAACAACATACCTAGTAATTTGTACCAAAATAGTCAAAAAGACAGAAAATACTGAAATCAGATCTGTCTGACTCAGTTCGGCTCGGGCTGAAATCAGCTCGGCTCAACAGCTCAGATCGGCTCAATGCAGCTGGCCAGAAAAACACCTCGGGCACGGCTTTGCGTGTGGCAAAGGGTTTCTACTTGTGCCCGGTAGAAGGTCGGTAGGTCGTAGCCAAAGGCTTTGTACGATCGGAGTGAGGCAGTTCGCGCGGAGGAAGAAGAAACAAGAGTTTGTCATGTGGCTCTGCGTGCGGTTGAAGAAGAAGGAAACCTCCGTGCCCTACGCTGCTTTGCGTGCGGTTGAAGAGGGAATTGGGTCGCGCGTCTCTGTGCGCAGCTGGAGAAGATGAAAACTGAGGGCGTCTTCGTGTCTCTGCGTGCGGTGGAAGAAGGAACTAGGCTACGCAGCTCTGCATGCAGTGGAGGAAGAAACCGGGTGGCCCTTTGCGCAGCTTAGAGTGCGGTGGAGGAAGGATCCGGCTGCCTTCTCCCTTCCTCTGATCTTTCCTCTCTTCCCCTTGGTCTGGCTCTCATTCTCCTCAGCTTCCTTTTGTTGTTTTAGAGTTTTAAAGAAATCCTAAAAATAAAACCATAAAATACCCTTAGTCTGCTTTGATACTATGTAGAATTTGGAGAAAAAATATAATTTTTATTCTCACCCTTTAGGTTGTAATACCTGCGTATTTATAAAATCCTTAAACTATTAATTAAGAAATAACTATTCTACTAAAATCTTAATTATATAAGATTACTATTTTAATAAAATTCTAATTATATAATACTAACTAATAATTAAAATATTTAAATAATAAATTATACTATTCAACAATAATAAGTCTATCGTATAAAAGTAATGATGTCGAGTAAGGACCCGAACTCATATTTGATCATATTCTATATTAAGGCCAGCAAGAGAGTCATAAACCCTCTCATTTTCAATTAATTTATGAAGTTTGGCTTCATCTACTTAATAGACTGCCTAAGAGTTTTGATAATAGTCTTATTCTTGGCAAAAGCCATTTAGTTCATTAAAGTATTGAGCAATACTCCTCTCACCTTGTTTTGCAATTCATATGTTTGTGCATCATTGTTCACTTGGGAGTATGTCTATGCGATGCAACATTCCAAATTCTTTGTGCAGTATGAAGTATCCACGAGAAATTTATAATTGCATTGAATTGATGAGCCAAAACATAATCAGTGAATTTTCTAATTCTCAATAGTGGAGATAGCACCAAGCAACTGTTAATAGAAAAAAATGGGATGTCCTTTGCAATCATGCAACTAAATCTTCTACAATCATGCCACAGAGAAAAAAAAATCCATCACTATGGTGTAGAATGAGAAAACAACAAGCTAGAAATACTTTTGTGAAGGTATTATTTCAGTAGGCAGATATGAATTGATTAGTCTATTTAATGTTGTAAAACTAACTTATCAATGAAATAAGATTCTTTGATCTAATGTTTGAACATAGAGTTAGAGACCAATTATTCATATTCGTTTTCTAGTATTGTTTTTCTGAACTCTTTCTAGGCCTTGGTATATTGCGCAGATGATGAAGTGGTAAGGATTATGAATAATTTGACGGGCTGGTCACTTATTTCTTCTTTAGCATCCTATGTTTTCTTCACATAATTTTTATAAAGGTGGATTCTATTTGATATCCAATTTATCAAAGATTTAATTAAAATGGTTCCGTATGAATGTCACTCAAGAAATTAGAAAATGCTTTCTCTTTTCATGTGCTTTTGACTTAAATTATCATGTACTACCTAGAGGTGCTTCTTTGAGGTGCTATATATTCGTTTGTTGTAGGTGCCTTGGTGTTGTGTAACACTAGACTTATCAGGGATTGTTGTTTACCCCAATCTTTCCTCTGGGGTAGTTAATCTTTTTTTTTCCTGTGGGCTAAGGCTTCTTGGTTTTCAAGAGATGTGTATTTGGTTATTTTTGAGCAAGACTGGGAAGTTTTTTTTTTATAATTTTTTTCTAATTATACTTTCCTTTTTGGTTTCTTTTTTTAAGAGGATTCTTTTTGCTCTATTGTAATCTTTTGTTCTCTTCTTTCTAATATAACTTATTTTTCTATCCAAAAAGAAAAATCAAGTATAATAAGTCTTCACATCTTGATTGTAGTCTTTTGAATTTCCTATCTATAGGAAGGATGTGGTGTCACTGTCGGATGGTGTACTTGCCAATGTCGTATTTATATGGAAAGAGGTTCGTTGGGCCAATTACACCCACAATTCTATCATTAAGGAAGGAGCTTTATGCAATTCCTTACCATGAAGTTGATTGGAATAAGGCTCGGAATACATGTGCAAAGGTTAGGAAGAGATCTGTTGTCTTTGCTTTTTGCAAAATTTATGCTCTTTAAGTTGATCACATTTCCTTTTTTCTCTGTGATTTTGTTTAGTTCATATTAATGAAGAAATTATTCTTGAACCTCAATAGTAAAAATTAGATGCCTATATGGTGCATGGATATGGATTCATTTTATGTTGGTATTGCATGTTTGCATTTATAGGTGCAAGTTTGTGGTTTTGCTTGCTCCAAGAGAAGTCCTTTTATTCTTCAGTTGCTAAATGTTTCATTTTTCATGGTATCTTCTGTTATTGAGGTAGTATTGTAACTCCAATATTGCTAGGAAGATCTATACTACCCACATCCTCTGGTTCAAGATATCCTTTGGGCATCTCTTCACTTCCTATACGATCCTGTTTTTTCATATTGGCCAGCTAAAAGATTGAGGGAGAAGACATTGAATACTGTAATGCAGCATATTCACTATGAAGATGAGAATACTCGATATATATGCATAGGGCCTGTCAACAAGGTATGCATAGAGAAGCTATTGATGATGCTCCTTTGTTTTTTTTTTTTTTTTTAAAGATCTCATTGTTTAGACTGTAGATCGGCAGCAGATTGATAAGAAAAATCTGGATATGGTTTGAAGTAAAATCCACTAGCATTCTTAGTTGTAATACTCTTCCCAAATGCTCTCATGTCTTGGTATCTTTTTAGTTCATTGCCTTTGCGGGCTTGATGATTTGTTACATTGCAGGTGTTAAATATGCTTTGCTGTTGGGTGGAAGATCCACATTCAGATGCTTTTATGCTTCATCTTCCAAGAATTTTTGATTATTTGTGGATTGCTGAAGACGGAATGAAAATGCAGGTTAGGTAATGGGCCTAGATGTCTATCTGACTTCTAGGAATCTTCTTTCTTGCATTTCCTTCCTTCTCATCTTATTTTATACCATTTAACATATTATATTGTCCTGTAGTATTTAGTTAATGTACCATGTTTAAGAAAATTAATCATGCTAACACATTAAAATAATAGACCCTTTTGGTACTCACCTTTATGCTTGTAGTAATTCTATGGCAGGGTTATAATGGAAGTCAATTATGGGATACTGCTTTTGCTGTCCAAGCAATCATTTCAACAGACCTGGCTGAAGATTATGGTCCAACTTTAAGGAAGGCACATGAGTTCATAAAGGATTCACAGGTTAACTTTCTAAAATTATGTTTTAATAGTTGGACAATTGTCTATTGAGATTGGGGCGCTATCATCTATAGAGATTAGGACTATGCTGGTGTCTACACTTGTTTTACTTTTTGTTATGCTTATTCCTAGAGGATGTTTTGTCTCCACTTTTGTAACTTTTTCTTCTCTCCTACT